GAGCTCAGTGTCGCTGCTGCCCTCTGCCCACCCACCCTGGACCACCCCCCACCCTCCCCTCCTGCCCCCCACCCACCCCTCCTGCCCACCCTCCCCTCCTGCCCCCCCACCCACCCCTCCTGCCCACCCTCCCCTCCTGCCCCCCACCCTGCCCACCCCTTCTCCTCATATCGTTACATGCTCTTGTATAATGTTTCCTGTATGTGTTGTGTGGCTTTCTACTTCTGCCAAATTGTCCCTCGGGGATGATAAAGACCTGAACCTCCAACCTTTTACATATGTTTACATTCAATTAATAGAATAGATACAGACTACTTCTTATGCTAAAGTTAGAGATTTTATACTAGCTTCTTTATTATGCTAAAGTTAGAGATTTTATACTAGCTTCTTTATTATGCTAAAGCTAGAGATTTTATACTAGCTTCTGTATTATGCTAAAGCTGGTACGCTAACTTCCATTATGCTAAAGTTGGAGATTTTATTTCATTTTAATTTTGCATATAGCGGTATGTGGTGCACACTGGGGTAGTCTCGCACTGTTCTTCCAATGTGGTTTTACTGCAAAGAAATTCTTGAATCTTGAATTGTTCATTTATCTTGTGCTGTGTGCTCCTCATTCCTACTATTCTGTAACTGCTGATGCAACACTGACATTTCCCCACAGTGGGACGAATAAAGGACGCACACGCACGCACACACACACGCACACACACACACACACGTTTTCCATCCGAACGAGCCTCTTCTGTGGATGGTTGAGCCTCTGTCAGTGGGACGCGTTGCTTTCTCTTTCCTCTCTTGAAAATAATCGTGTTTACTGTGGTCCTCGTAAAATATTTGTTTAACTTTGTTGTTTTAAAAAAGTACACGTACACGCAGGGAAACAACACACATAGCTCCTGGCCCAGTTCTGTTGTTGTGGTTGATTGACACTTGTGCAGACTATAATTAATGCACCTTTTGTCTATATCTGTGCAGTGATTATTTGGCCCTGTGTGTGTTGGAGGCTGTCAGGCTCCACGGCCCCATTCTGTCTCCTCTCCCTCTCTCATCCACTCTTTTACTTAAAGTCTGTAGTGACCAGGACAGCTCCTCCGTGTGCGCGCGCATAAATCAACAAGATATAGCCATAAACAAATAAGTTGTTTATGAAGAGCCAAACCGCGGTCGCTGTTTTATACGCAACACTTGCTTCCTCTTTGACAAACATCCAAACAATAACGGCAGTAAATAATGTCCGTATCCGAGGCCCTGGACCGGGGTTAACTCGAGTTTACTGCGGAGGCCACTGGCTGCATGCATTAAGCAAATCATAAATTATACATGCTAATTACCTAAGGCCCCACTTTAATGAATTATTTTAATTAAACGACAACACTAAGGCTTTTGCACGTGCTCTATATTTCACAGTCCTGCCTGCGACAACCTTCTTCTGTGTCCGAGAGAGGAGTGAGCAGGCTCCAAGGACGAAGCACAGCCTCCTCCTGCAGCACTGCACCTCCGCAGAACAAGCAGGACCATAACTGTTATTATTAGTATTATTATTATTATGATCGTTATTATAATTATAATTATAATTATTATTATTATTATTATTACTATTATTATCGTTATTATTATTATTACCATTTTTATTATTATTATTATTATTACTATTATTATTACCATTATTATTATTATTATTATTATTATTATTATTAGTAGTAGTAGTAGTAGCAGCAGCAGTAGTCGTGGCAATAGTAAGGTTTAGAGATTTCTTGTTTGTCCTGAAGATAAATTGCATCACCAAAGGACAGTAAAGGAATGAGTAGCACACAGCCCAAGATACAGTATGTAAATAATAACTCACTAACTATATATAACTAAAATATAATCTGTATTTGTATTTATTTGAGCTCCATTAGTTGTAACAAATTTCTTAGTCAAATCTCAAACTTTAGCTTAAAAGAGAAGCAGCAGGAGTATTCAATATTATTATTAATATTGTCATTATTATCAACATTATTATTATTATCAACATTATTATTATTATCAACATTATTATTATTATCAACATTATTATTATTATCAACATTATTATTATAGGAGCTTTAGATGTTTAATTTTGTTATTGTTGTTTTTTTAATTCATGTATTTCATTTCCCATTGTCACCTGACCATCACTTTAAATGACGTCTCTTACGTCATGGATCGTGGTCAAAAGCACAGTACGTGAACAATGCAGGCACTGATTGTTCTCCCCCAGTTGGACGTTGAAGCCAAACGCACATTACGCACATCACGCACAAAGATACGCGTCGTGCGTAATGGCTGCGTTTGGAGTGGAGCCACGACGTGATTGATTTGAGCTGTGACAGTTGTTCTGTTTGTTCTCTTCTCTGCCAGCTTCATTCCAAACTCATTCTCAGGAGCGAAAGGTGGCAATTTATGACTTGAGTCTCTCACTAACGCAACACCCTGCAGCCGCCGCGGGCATAACTGCACACATCATTTAACCCATAAACAAATATTTTGGAGATTTGCGCATGCGTACCGCGAAATAATAACGCTAAAAAAAATCACACCGTTTTTATTTAACGTGACACATACATCAAACACATAACAAGTGGTTTGTGTAATACTGATGCGTTTCTTTTAAATTAGAAAATCAATCCTTCTGCTGGAAATGAAGCAATAGAGTTTTGTGTTTGTTGTTTGATTCTCTGATCTGTTGATGCTGAATCTACAACTTTGTTAAGTCCTCAGAGACTGCTGCTGCATGTTGTGATTTATGGCTATACACAAATACATCTAATTGAATGGAATGTGCTGATTTTGACGTATTAATCAGACTATGTGTGGCTCAGTGATTTACATTCATTCTATTTTACAGCAACAGCGCGTTTTTTAAATACCATTTAACACATTAAAAATATTTGTTGAAAAAAATATCTGTGCTATTTTTAGGAAGCAGCCTTCAATAAACACATTTGGCAACGTATGGCTTCTGTGGGTTCTTTATACATATTCATTAGTTAGAGGCATATATAGGAGGATTTTCTACTTCCGGGTGGATCATCAAGACTATTGGTCCTCCTAAGTGTCAATCATTCTGGTGATACGTGCTCGTCCAATAAGACCAGAGAGTTTATTCAAAATGTGGAGAGAAATTCTTTCCTAAAAATTGAGAAAATCCTCCAATATATATACCGTTAATTTATTACATTTTGCCATAACCATTGAACTTTCCGTTGGATATATTTGTAACTGAGAATGCAGGCTACAGGGTTAAGAATATGATTTCATTTTTTTATTTTTTTGAATCAGCAACAACGGTGATATACAAGTCCTATAGAAGTGTGAAATAACTGCGCAAACGTGTCTTGCATGTTGCTCTAAATGTCATCAGAACCCACTCGACACACACGAGCAAACTACCGGCGAGGGGGCGGGGGGGGGGGGGCAAGGGTGGGGGGGCACATTTCAATTCCAAAAGAGTCTCGCAGCTCGTTTCCTAGTCCCCCAGTCAGCTATGTGTTTGTGAGAAATCAGGCTTTTTGTCTTGCTGGAAAAAGGCCTAAGTCTACATTGGTGGCCCCAGTCGAGCTTCGCCATTCTTTGCACTTTCAATTGAACTGAATGAGGCAGAATGAAGTGGCCAGGAGCCTTTATTTGATGTGCCCTTTTGCTCGACTCAAAATGTATTGGTTTAAAGCTCTCAAATGGCCTGTTTCACACTATAGGCGACACAAATAAAACGCTATATTTTGATTTTGCATCAGAATGGAGCGGGTTTGTTTATGTCGCTTGAATGGAGGTTCGCTGAGACGAGGCCGATTCGGGGAAACAGGAGAGAAAGTTGTTTTTTTTTTCTTGGCTCAGCGCGGACTTGACCGACTGGGACGTGTCACCGGGACTTTCAATAATGTTTCCAATCGCGGGAGTTGTTATTGTGCAGCGTGATGAAAGGAGGTCTGTGCGTAAAAAGCTTTTACACTGAATCCAAATATAGCATCCTGTGTATTTGTCATTCACTCTGGGCTCTGGCTGGTCCAGAATAAATTATTATTGGTTAATTATATCATCATTTACTATTAAATTCATGCGAAATAACACCAATAATAGTAATACAAATGATGATAATAATAATAATAATAATAATAATAATGATAATAATACATGGGCCTGAATGACTAAGAAATACTTCAGAATGATTAAAAATTATAACCTGACAAAATAATCTAAACAAAATAATATAGTTTTATATTTTGAAAGAAGAACCTGGACCTAAAGGTAAAAAATATGAATGATTTGTTGCGTTATTTGACACACGGAAGCTGTCTCATAAATCTCACCATTCCTTGTGTGAATAACAATAGAACCCACGGATGTAGAGGTAAAACCAGAGCACGAAAATGCAAACACACTGTGGATATATGTGCAAAGACACGTGGACAAATGTCGATTGTTTACCCCATCACTTTTAATGAGAAAATATTTGGATGACCACATTTTTTTTTCTCCAGTTCACTGCAGACTGTCGGCACAGTTTTGTCAAAGCACGCATGCTTTTGCAGAAAATTAAATCCATTTCCGAAGTGAAAAATAAACACTGACACATCCACAGTTATAACATAGATGTTTCTTCTTTTCTATCGCATGCTTTAGCTAAAAAAGTACAAATACAGCCTGACACTGAGGGTCACCACAGCCTTAAATTAAATGCTTCACTTACAAACAGCTCGTGGGAGACAGAGGCCCGCCCCCAACATAAAAGTGCATTTGACAACATTTTAGTTATTTGCAATATCCACATCTTGCAGACTGAAAACAACTCTTACAATAGGCTACTACATTTCAGCTGCAAGAAGAAAAAAGTATTTATTTTCCAGAAACAAACGTGGTCCTCTTCTATTTGGCATCATCCATCAGTCCATGGACTAACAGCAAACGAAAGGACGTCGCAAAGTTTGGACACGCACAGGGCCAGACTCTGGAACACCTCACATCGGACAGAAAGTAGAACTATCAAATAATTTATTTTCAAGAGCAATAGTTCGCTGTGCGGGTTTGTGCTGGCCTTCTATGACACGGTAAAGCAACACATTCAACACGAACACAAATGAATGACACTGCACTCGCCTGATCCCTCCGACGGCACACTTTGGGTTGAGTCACTTTTAGCAAGTCCCGGTGCGCTATGGTCCTAAAGAGAGGGTCCCAGTCCCCGGGCCCCGAGCTGTCAGTGCACCGCCACCGACTGCAGTGTGGACGGACTCGTCAGGGTGTCACTGGGGGTCGCGGGGCTGCTTTGGCTCGTGGCTGTCTGCGGGGACGTGGGGCTGAGGGACTGGGGAGAGTTTGACAGGAAGGCGGGCAGGTGTGGGGGCAGTGCCGTGAAGCCTGCCATGCTCGTCGGAGTGGGTTTAATGGGGACCGGGATCGCGGGGAGGGACTGGCCGCTGTGGCAGAGGCTCTTCAGGGGCATGCCGTACGCCCCGTAGTCGCTGCTCGCCATGGTGTCCATCACGCTGCTGTTGTAGACGTGTGGCCAGGCGCTGGTGAGCTGGTTGTGCAGAGGGTACCCTGCTGACATGGACTGCATGGTGGAGAAGGCCAGGCTGCCCGGGACTTTATACTCTCTGGCGATGATGTTCTCTATCGCGAACGGGTGCTTGAAAGTTGACGTCTGTGACACTCCTAAGTTGTACGTGGACATCTGCGGAAGGTGCGTGCCCGAAGCTGCCAGCGCACTCAGCCGCAGCTTGGCCTGTTGTTGCAGGTAGTGAGCCGCGTCTGACTGTTTACTCGGAGCCAAGTGATCGGGAACTCCCAGGACTTTGAATCTCTTCCGTCGCCGCAGAAAACTCCCGTTCTCAAACATGTCTCCGCAGCTGGGGTGCAGTGCCCAGAAGCTGCCCTTCCCTGGCTGGTCCGGTCGCCGCGGGATCTTGATGAAACAGTCGTTGAAGGACAAGTTGTGGCGCAGGGAGTTCTGCCAGCGCTGCGTGTTTTCCCGGTAGTACGGGAACCGATCCATGATGAACTTGTAGATCTCACTCAGCGGCAGCATCTTCTCCGGGCAGCTCTGGATGGCCATGGCGGTGAGAGAGATGTAGGAGTACGGGGGCTTCTGGTCGCTGTACGTGTTCCTCCCTGGACGAGGCATCCTGGACGCGGTCACACACCTCCAGACACGTCCCTGCTTTAGTTCCTCTGCGCCGCGGTGGAAAGTCGTGCGTAAAAAGAGCCTCGATGCGCCGCGCGGAGAAGAGAGTGTGTGTCTGGAAGTCAACTCGTCCCGCCTGCAATAGACTTCTGTCGGTGTGTGTGTGCGTGTGTGTGCGTGTGTGTTATGAGCTGAGCCAAGCGGATGCCTCCATGGTCTTCCTGTGCGCGTCTGATAGTTTTATGTAGTGACATGAGCAGAAAAGACCCCTGTAGTGGCGTTCCATTAATGTGCCACCTCTTCGCTATCACATGACAATTGCCACGGGAGGAGGGGGCGAGGGAGGAAGGCATAATCTGCTTTCATTTACACCTATTTACATGGACACCTTGGGCCAATGGAAATCATTTCCATTTGAAGACAGAAAAAGGGGTGAAAAGGCTCGGAATGGGAGCGCGGTGCTCGGTGTGTGTGAAGGTATGCGACTTTTTCTGCGGACTTTGACGTGAACCTTCAGATTTAAGTGCGTTTCTGGAACTGTCAAATATGTGATTGGAGTATTTGCATGTGTATTTAAATATAGTCCTATAAAATGATTATGAGTTGTTATTAGAAGTAACTTATATGTCCATGTGCTGACAATGATTTCTACACTTTACGCATGAAATTGAAAATCACAAAATAATAAAAGTTGTCTAATGAATTGTCTGAGTCCATTGTGATGAAAACGTGGGCTTGGGTATATAAAAACATGAATTTATTCGAATGCAATGTTGTGTGATTACAAACAATGTGCCATCCTGCTGTGTCTATGTTAGTTTTTCTGCTAATTTGGCCCAGAGCTGAACGGAAGAATATGAGCGCATCGCACAAAGCAAACAGCGCTGTTCAAACTCAAACTTCATGAGGCTGAGGGCCCTTTGTGTCGGTGTCAAAACATTCCAATCCGGGCTTCTTCACAAATGCAAATAAACCCTTCTGGATGGTGTGCTGAAAACTGTATAAAATATCCATAAGTCAATTATATGAATGTGAAAACCAAATGGGAAGCCTATTTTGAGCTACTGCTATTGAAGCTTTTGGCCAGAGCTACCTTTCCGCTTGGAGAGTTCGCTATGGCCTCGGACCACACACACGCACCACGCAAGGATCGCTCATAATTTATGCTAATTTGCCCCATAAATCCACAATGCACCCCATCACCGGGCTGACGGATTAGGAGGAGAAGAATCGCATTGCGGGGGACACGATCGGAGCTGCACACGGACAAATCAGCACAGCGCAGGAAAATGTTAAGGATTCAATGCTAGAGATTTGATTTATTGGAGGAAAATTAAGATTAGATTTTTATTTTATTTTTTTTATTTTTTTACTCCTGCTTCCAGTCTTTAGTTGTGGCCGTTATGCGTCATTCTAAAATAAAGTTTTTTTTTTAAATGGGGTTTTTTATGTTATTTTAATAAAACTATACGAGACGAGTAGAAACCATGGACAACCCAACCGTGTTCCATGATTAGAAAAATACATACACATAGAAGTTTTGATGTACATTTAGATCATGCTATTGGCCTATAATATTTGTGGCCAGTTTCACGTGTTCCTGGGATTAATATTCCCTCTTCATGCTCGCCTTAACCAGCCTCTCTCACACCGCTCGGCTGCGCTGGCTTCTTGAGCTCTGGGGTTATGGGATATTGGTAACTCTTTTGTCCCTGTCCAATGCACACAGGGAAATACCACCATGACTCTGAATGTGAATAGGGTTTTTAGCTTTTCACAAACTCTCCGGGTTCAAGCGGCAGTAGATCAAGTCTGCTCTATGTTTGGTCATTTGTAGAAACTCGAACAAAGGTTGGGATAAGCCAAATTGCATTGCACTTGTGAACCGTGCCTCAGTCTGAAGTATCTTTTATAGCGGGAGGGGACCAAGAACAATTTTGTGTGAGCTTTAAGAAAAAAAGAGAGGATCCAAAACAAAAGCCACTTTCTGAAACATCTTAAAGTAGAGTAGTGAGGCGTGACATTCCCAGGGTGACGAGACACAAAGGCCGAGGTCACCGGGATGAAAAAGAGAATCAAACAGCCACTTTCACACGTCTGCCCTCCTCTGCTGCGCCCCGAACACAATAGGAAACAAATGTTGTTAAAAGAGGATCGATGCCATTCATCCTAAAGCAGCGCATGATAGCCAAACAATATTGTCACACTGAAGCGAGTTGAGATACGCTGCCACCCAGACCCTATAAAGATTAACTATTTACCAGCATTCTGTGGCAATTTTTACATAAAATTTAACTGAACAAGAATCCCTCAAAATATCAGTTCAAAGCGTAAAACCTGTGCGTAAAATTATCCATGGTTGCGATTTGGTTAATTTTACGCGCCTTTTACGCACGGTCGGTTCTCTCTTTTACGACGTCTCTGCAGGTTGCTGACTGCATGTAAATCCCTGACTCCAAGCGATGTGCATTACTCATCCAATAAATAAACAAAATTACCGCTTGAGGTCTTTTTCAAGGTAAACATTTGTAATGGGGAACGTGTCATTTCACGGTTATTTTTACGCGCTTGCATTTATACATTTGGACTATTATGGACCCGAACTGAGAGAGAGCGCGCGCAGATAAAGCCTGTCTCTCATATAGTTTGGCCTTGATGCAGGTAAAGCAAGTTTTGTCTTGTGTGTTCCAAACTGACTTCCTCCATCCGACCAGTGACTCCATCCTGCGCGTCTAATTAAGTCCGCGGTGGTTTCGGCCCCTGGAGATGTTTTACGGTGCAATTAAGGACGCGCTCAAGATAAGGTATGAATATTCAGCAGGATGACAATTAATTACCAGACGGAGGGCTCTCAAATGAAAGCCTCTTCATTCGCAAGTTTAGCCTATGATGGGAACTACACACACATTCCGCGTTGGAGGCAAATGTGGATCTTTAGCATCTGGTCTGTATCTATCCAAAGTATATATGAAATCATGGAGCGGGCGTTTCGATCATGCTCAAGCCCCATTAGCCGTCGCTGTGACATCAGAGGGGCTACCTGGTGCAAGCAGACCGCAGGGCATTCACAACATATGCTCTGCTTACGCTTAATGGTCTAATTACATAAATTAGGCATTCATTATACAGCACATCATGTGAAACAGATATCTCTATTGCACAAAGGCAGGGGTTGCCATTTCAATTTGTCTGGGCACATTTTCGTCCAATTAGACACTAAAAGACATGGGGCACTGCTATCGTTGGTGAATTGTGCCACTTAAACATAATGAATGGCTTTTCTGCTGTAATACACACTTTGTCCAGGAGGTGGGGACGTGCTCTTTAAAAATCACTGTAAGGGGAAATGTTGGAATCGATTCTTTTTGTACAATTTGAGGATTCGAAGTTTGATGAAGGGAAAAAACCTCATGTTGTCAGATAAGGAAATGACGTTATATAATTTAATTCAGAAGCTCTTTGCAATGGGTAAAATTAGGGCAAGGTCTGAACACGGAGATATGGGACTTTTAAGATTAAATATGTAAGAGATTCTTTATTCGTCCCACAGTGGGGAAATGTCAGTGTTGCATCGCCAGTTACAGAACAGTATGAGGATCACACAGCACAAGATACATGAACAATAATCTATCATAAAATAACAAATAAAGCTAGTATAAACTGATTCTAGTGTACAGTTTACATCTGTACCCGTTGTATATGAAACACACACATTCTCACAAACTGCTACTAAATAACAATAACAAATATATTTACATTATGAGTTAGTATTAGCTGCAGCAGTATTATTATTAACATTATGGTACTTTTTTAATTGTAGTTTATTTCTTTGGCCATTATGTACAATAGATCTCAGGTCACATGTTTTAAAAAAATAGTACACATTTCAAAATAAGAGAAAATAAAACTAAATTGTGTACATTAAGGATTTTAGTGCTAAATAATGCCTGGTTTACGCTGAGGTCGAGACTGAGTGTGTGTGTGTGTGTGTGTGTGTGTGGGTGTGTGTGTGTGTGTGTGTTTCCAGGAGGTCGGCTCTCGGGAATCTGACCTCCATGTTCTGGATTTAGCTCGGACAAAAATGATAATAAGAAAAATGATAATAATATAGTTTAAAATAATGTAGGCCATGCAGCCCTTCTGCTTTATCTGGTTTGTCTGTCCCCATGAATGTCTCTGTTCTGACATTGATTTGAATTGATATGATTTGACCTACTGTATTTCTGATGCACTTTGTCGAACGGAACAACTCGAAACTAAAGCAGGTTACAATGAAGTTGCTGCTGCCTCTCAATGTTTCATCCGCACCATTCAGTGGGACACGGCAGGACGATGAGGGCAGATGAGGGCCAATGAGGGCCAATGAGGGGCAATGAGGGCTGATCCTGGGGCCTGTCTCTTCTCTTCAGGCTGAGATTGAGGCTGAGACCGAGGCTGAGACCGAGGCTGAGATCGAGGCTGAGATCGAGGCTGAGATCGAGGCTGAGATCGAGGCCTGGATCGAGGCTGAGATCGAGGCTGAGGTCGAGGCTGAGATCGAGGCTGAGATCGAGGCTGAGACCGAGGCTGAGATCGAGGCCTGGATTGAGGCCTGGATCGAGGCTGAGATCGAGGCTTGGATTGAGGCTGAGATCGAGGCTTGGATTGAGGCTGAGATTGAGGCCTGGATCGAGGCTGAGATCGAGGCTTGGATCGAGGCTGAGATCGAGGCTGAGATCGAGGCTGAGATTGAGGCTGAGATCGAGGCTGAGATCGAGGCTAAGATCGAGGCTGAGATTGAGGCTGAGGTCGAGGCTGAGGTCGAGGCCTGGATTGAGGCTGAGATCGAGGCTGAGATCGAGGCTGAGATCGAGGCTGAGATCGAGGCCTGGATCGAGGCCTGGATTGAGGCCTGGATCGAGGCCTGGATCGAGGCCTGGATCGAGGCTGAGATCGAGGCTGAGATCGAGGCCTGGATCGAGGCTGAGATTGAGGCTGAGATCGAGGCCTGGATCGAGGCTGAGACGCCAAAGAGCAGAACTGACGACAGAGATGTGAGAAAGCCTCATTACCACTGTATGATAATGAACAACGGCCTGGAATTATTCTACTGTGTCACTTCCTCAGATATTTACTGTGAACTTTGTGAAAGAATGAACTTTCACTGAGAAGATGAAAAGATTGTTATTCATAAAAGGAATGATGAGCATAAATGAGACAGCTTCAATATGTAAAACAGCACAGTGGAGAACTCTGCTCACTCAGGACAGATTCATACACTTTTTATTCACATATTTTTTTTACAACGTGTCAATGTTGTGTTCCTCTTGGTTTTCCTTGTTTTCTTGCAAATGTTGTGTCTCAAAGAAAATACTCAAGAAGATATTTATTTTACTTGCATATACACCTGCACATGTACTGTGTGTTTGCAGTAAGTATAAGTATGTATTTGATCCTTGATCCCAGAGAACATGAGCCACAAACATCTGAGCCGTAGTAATCATGTGACCCCTGAGGTCAGAGCTGTGTGTTTAACATGACCTTTCACTGCAGTCAAATTGACTGCTCAGGCCTCATGACGGAAAAATCAATAACAGTTAGTGACTAAGGAGAGAGCAGCACAGGGGTCAAAGGGTTTCGCTTTTTGATTGGCCAAATATGTCTACACAAGCCGTGGCCATACCTCTGTGAAAGCCAAACCCTGTTAGACCTCTAAAGCTAAGCAGGACAGGGCCTGGTTAGTACTGTGATGGGAGACCTCTGGGAACAGCAGGTGCCACAATGGCTTAGTAAAATGCCAAACTGTAGTTGTGTCCTTAGGCAAGACATTTCCTCCACATTAGAATCAGTTTGGTGTGTGTGTGTGAATGGTTGGTGGTGGTGGGAGGGGCCGTTTGAAGCAATGCAAACTGGTTGCCTTGCTTTTGTCAGTCTGCCCCAGGGCAGCTGTGGCTACAGTAATAGTTTATCACCACCATGTATGGAGAGAATGAATTATGACATGTGAAGTGTCTTTGAGTGTCTTAACAAGCGCTGCACGTATAAAACTGATGCATTATTATTATTAAACGCTAAATTATTTCACCTTTTGACAATTGTTTGACACAATTCGAAGAGATCCACAGAGACGTGTTGTTGCTGCACAGTCAACACTAACAACAAACTAAAGCAGCAGCAGCGACAGAAGACCTTGGTGCAGATGTGTGAGGTGAGGATGGTTGGAGGCGAGTTTCTGCTCCAGACCTTGGTGGTGATTGCACGGCTCGCACTGGGACCGGACCAGAGGCTTTTTGCTCCGGTCTTTCATCTTATCCATGAGGGAGCAGTCTCTGAGGAGGATACAAGACAACAACATAACAATGTGCTCCCGTAAACAGCCGCCCTCTGGGACGCAGCGTGTCCCACAAGACTCACACCTGCACCCACATAAACCAGACACGATGCTTTTGAAACAAGAGCCATGAGAGGTTTTTCTATCAGGTAAAACTCAGGATAGCATTACATTTATGTCTATCGAGTTGGTTTGCATGAAGAATACTGCATGAATAAACACTTAGACCCATTAGGAGCATAGTATGATATCAAATTATATTTATTGATTTTTCATTTGTTTGTGGAACATGAAAATACAGAATATAGCTTTGTCAATTAGGCCCCGGCAGAAATATTGCATGACATGTGCAGGAGATAATTGAATAGAGGTTAAGAAAGTGAAATCCCCCTCAGGATCTAAACCCTGGAGGTGGTGGAGGCTGAAGCAGACAAGATGAAGAATGATGATCCACTGGTGAGAAGGTGGGAGGAGGTGGGTGGCTGCGCGAGCTGAAGCTAAGTGGAAAGTTGTGAGGCACTGTTTAAATACAGTTGGTGAAGGTAGTTCTTGATTAGGAGTGGCATATGGGCAGTAGTGGGAGGACTATGTTGTAGAGGTGGGGAGGAGGTGGGTGGCTGCGCGAGCTGAAGCGGCTAAAGTGAAGAGCCGGGATAGTGATACTGTCCTCCAGTCTGTACATGTTTCTGTAACCATAAATGCAGTTGCTCTTTGCCATTTTTGTTTGTGAGAGTCGCTCTTCTGGGGAAAAAGGTTGGAGTCCCCTGCCCTTTACTGGCACAGGGAGGATATAGAAGATTAATAAACCTTTGAGGCAGATACAAAGTATTTTAAGCTTAAACTAGTTTCCCCCAGAACCAAAAGAAACTGGCTCCCTGTTTCCAAATATGCATTTCTTTTATAACATGCATAAAACCCTATCGGCAAAGCTATTTAATCAAAAATAGCCTTAGTGTAAACACATATCTTCAATAAAATGTTTTGCTTCATCAGCTCACAGCGCCCCCCTCTGGTAGCTTCCATCCTCCACACACTTTTAGGCCGCTTTCATTATTTTTAATTCAGCTAATGCAGGGGTCTCTTTCAGGTAGCTCAACAAAGGATTTAGAATTAAAAACTGGATCCTGAATGTAAACATATTGAGCCATTACATATTTATTATAAGTATGAATATTGGGTTATACAGTATTACGGTATATTTTACATGTGTTTTCCATGTTTTGTCGTAATTATTAGATAAATTTTTATTACGACTGCAAAAAGGTGTAGCTCTATGCCTCTCTCTTCTTTGAATAACAGTATCTCTCTGATTGAAGACGGTTGGAGACGCCTGAGTGAAATCTTCCAGAGCAGAGGTAGAAACAGGTCTTATGTGTGCCTGTATAATTGTAGTAATAATAACGACAATACTAATAATAGCATTGGCGCACTCCAGGAGAGAATAATATCTCTGTCAAAGCTCGGATGGAGAAAGAGATGGTGTTGATTACCAAAGCCTCAGGAGCCCCACTTGAAAATAATGCTGTTGACTCTGACCTGCTCTGAGTGCTTCTCCGCCGGCGTTTGGATTGTGCACACACAAAAGAATGCAATTAGCTCTCCATCAGACGTCTGCCTCCTGTTCTGAGGGAGAAATCATGTCAAGTATTTGTGACGCAGAGGAGCGACTCTCGCAGCTACAATCACATGTGCAGATCGAGCTAAAGCTAACACTAGCATCGCAAATAATGGATGTTGAGGCGTGCAGTCGTGGAGGACATTGGTTTTACTGACAGATGTTTGGAAATATTATCTGTTCCTTTTGTGATTTCAAAATGGTGCTGTGACCCTCGTTGTGGTCTCTGGAGAAGTGAATCCCAAGTGTGAGCCAAGGTGAAGGCCCCCTTGTCTCTGTTCATGGTCCGTGCGCGTCGCTTCCTGATTTCAATTGCCTCTCGTCTCCATCTTTTGTATTTATGTTCCTGTTTATAATATTTTTGCATCGTCCCAGTCCATCCATGATCTGATTTTTTCTTTTGCAGTGGTCTGATATTGCCGATTTGAGGTTTTCCTGTGTTGCCTTTTCCTTGATTGACCTTTCGGCGGGGGTCGTGGTCGGTCTGACGGATCTGTCAGACTAACTGCATCCGGCAACAACAGCTGATAAGAGACGCGTCAAACCAAACCTGTGGTAATGAAGCAGTACTTTGTTTACTTTCTTGTCTTAATAAAAGAACCTTCAAAGCCTGAAACATAAGAAGACAAAATGAACTTTTTACATTTACTGATATGAATGACTGAAGGTTTAAATACATGTTATGAAACGTCTCATTGTGTCCCATTCACTCAGTTTTATCCCTGTGCCCATGTGCATCACACTTCATGCTCTCACAGCATAAACATTTGGGTCGTGCATCTAGTTAGCATAAAATATTGCTGCCAATTAATGAACACTTTTATTTCTTTTTAACCCACATCGATGCATTTGCAGATGAACTAGCTCCTGAACAAGTCTAGCTGAGAATAAATCGGCCAATTCAAGATAATTACCGTAGTAAGTCAGTTTTTAACCAATATAGATTTTCATTTTTGCTGTGTTCAACAGGCTCCCAGCCGCTCTCCTGACGCCGCCTCGTAAATACGCCGAAATAAACTCATTTCACTGTGACCATCAACATGATTAATTGTGCCGTGAAAAAAAATCTTGTAAGACCTCCCAGACACAGGGCAGCGCCAGACACGCCGCGCCCAGCCTCACACACAGATCACATGAATATCAAACTAATAATTAGCCATGTAATTTCTCCTCAGGAATCATCCCGCGCCCCAAACCGGTGGGAGAATTTCATTATTAGCAGCCTTTTTGTTTCCACGTCCTTCTCATTACTGTCAGGATCGATGCAACATAAACTTCATTAAAAATTAAAGCCTGGCTCTTAATTACCAGGCTTCACTGACTGAAGTTCGAATTAGCCAACTCAGTGATGTGCAAATGAGAGCATTATTTAAGAAAGATGCTGCAAGTAGTTATGCTAATTCCCCGGGTTCGCAGTAGCAGACCTTTCCACTTGCCCATGCATATTCATTAAACACACTATGCAAATTTAATGTAGCTGTCTTAGTAATACCCCTTAATTTATTCACATTTATTGAGTACGACTTGTAAAAAGTATCCATTTAATTAGCCCTTCTCCTGAGAAAGGGGTTCAGCGGCGTAAATCAGGATTAGCAGAGAAAAGGAAATGCTTTTAATAAGTGTGTGAAAGACATGTTGATTTATCAGAGACCACGTCCAAGCAAAATCTTTGGAGAGCGGCGCGACTGGCCAAGACCAGAGACGGCCAACATATGACGCGCTAAGCTAAAGGGGCTGTCCGACATCATATTTCACCGCCGCTAATAGGCGCCGGTGCAAATGCATGTGTTCACTTGAGAGCATTTAGTGCGATGAATAATTTAGTGTCTGCTTAACCCTCCTGCGCTCGGGTATCTCTGCTCTCCTTGTCAGAAATGACCCACACACGCATCAAACAAGGAGACGGCCTGAACTCATCATCGCGCTCTTCATCAGCACTCACACGTCTTATTCCAAACAGTAAAATTGACTTATTATTAATATTCATGCTGCTTCATATGCTTTTAAACTTTAACGTGTTATATAGTTGCCTTTAGTTAAAATCTGGAACAGTCTTCCTGAAGATGTGAGACAGGCCTCCTCTCTGACAATGTTTAAAACCAGGTTAAAGACAGTTCTGTTCAGCTGTGCTACAACTGAGGGATTTTATATTTGTATCTTTCTTTTTAATGTTCTGTGATTATTTATGATTTTAATGCTTTCTTGTTTTGTTCAGCACTTTGAATTGCCTTGTGTATGAATTGTGCTATATAAATAAACTTGCCTTGCCTTGCCTAGTTTTTTATTTTTGATCATGTACATGTTTTGTAGTTTCACTGTTTGTACTTTGTAGTATTATTGTATTGTATTATTATTGTATTGTTTTACTGTTGCTCTGTAAAGTGCTTGTGACGTGTGCTACAGACCTCTTGGCCAGGACTCCCTTGAAAAAGAGATCTCAATCTCAATGGGTATTTTCCTGGTTAAATAAAGGTTAAAAAAAAAACAAAAAAACAAATTCTATAAATGCAAAGGGTCTTTAAAGGGGTGTGTGTGCGGCCCTTTAATCGTCTTGGCGTCTGTTCTTGTGGAAAAGAGAAAAGATCGATGGATATAACTGTTTTTGCGACGTATAAAAATGTTTAGTTTTGTGTGAAATACGCCAAATATTCTAGTTGGTATTGGCAGCACGCTCAGGTCTTCTCTTAATGCCTATAAGTTGACACATTGACACAAACACACAGACAAATACAAAAAACAAAATTAAACAAAGTCTAATGACAAAGGCTCGATTTTTTTCTGTATTCTTCTGATTGATACAAATGCTGCATTTAAAGTCACTTTTTCTGTGGACTTTTTTGAAGACAAGCTGTGCTGAGACCCGCCCACGTTCACCACCTGCAGCTCCGTGATTGGATGACATTTTTTTAAATTTCTTGAGCCCCCTTGTGATTGGTTTAACTGTTCTCCTACAGCAAATGTTACTGGTGGAGGGACCGTGTTTGTTTAATGAATAATCCATGTTGCTTTTTCTCAAGAAATAATATTATATTTGCTAATTAGGTGATTCACTTTTCTTAAGGAGGATTTTTCCTAATTTTCCCTTTTTGAAAAAACTCATCGGTCTTGTTTGACGAGCACGTATCACCAGAATGATTGACAATAGGAGGAGCAGTAGTCTTGAGGATCCACCCGGAAGTAGAAAATTCTCCTCTACACCTTTAAGACAAATATACACACAAGATTCCCAGTGACAGAACCAATCTGCTGTACAGTATATAAGCAGGATATTTCATTTCATTTTTACATTTTTTATTTTTTATTTTTTGAATGTTAGGCACCCCAGCTTTAAATCCACTTGGCTAAACTCACCTGGTCCTGTGAGGTCAAATGCTGGCGAGGCAGATCATGGGTTTAGTGCCCTGGATCAGAGCGGCCTGGGACTGCA